GATTGTGTCACCAGCAAGCGTCGTGCGCCGTAGGATGAGAGAAAGACCACCACAGGGACCCTGCAGACGCCGCATCTGGCCAGCTTTCTGCCTCTGCTCAGGACATTTGCGGTCATCCTGGCCTTTGTGTCGTCGTCTCTTCAGGGTGTCCACATGACCCCAGGTGTCCTGATGCCGGAAGCAGCCAGATGGTCCTGCAGGGCATGGCCCTGTGTATTCAGCTTCTGGGCAGCGCATGACCTGGACTTCTGCTCCAAAAGGGACTGCACACTTTCCCACCTCAATGCCAGCTGCTGTGCAACCACCACACGCTTGCTCCCCTGCCAGTGGGTTGGGTCAACAGGGCACTGGGCGGTCCGTCTGTGATCACAGGAATGTGTCAACATGTCCATCACAAATCTAGTCTAGTGCAGTGGTGGACACATAGCCAGGGCGCCGTGTGGAGAGGATAGTTCTGCAGCGGTTCCCCTCTGTCCATCTGTCATTTCATGCTGACAGTGTTTTCTTTTATTTCATTTAAGAGCTTAATCGAGCAATGAACAATTCGCAAATTGGACAGCCTTCCAGCCAGAGTCAGCTCGGAGACCCCCAGCTGCCATGATGTTTTATGCTTGCAGATAGTAGGCGTTCCTCTGCCCCTGCCCACCCCCAAAGCGCAAGAAGACATAGAATTGTCAAAGGCCCGTGATTCCTCTCGGCCCTACAACAAGTCAGCATCCTTTCATGGATGGATGCGACCCCTCCCTCGCTGTCCCACCCTGCCGGCCACATGGCCCAGGACACTGCCCCTGGGTTCAGCTGCAGAAGACGCTGGAAAAGGGCCTTCCTCCTTAACACAGAGCCCAGAACTCTGAGGTATTGGTCCCCAGAAGTTTCCATAAACAGTGTGGAAGCGGCCACAGTGCTGTGCAGCCGGCCTCGTCTGAGCACCCACTTCCATCTGAAGCTTTTCTCAGCTGGTCTAAGGGGACCACAGGAAGCAAAGGAAGCTTCCATGGCAGGCCATGGTGGAACCCGTGAATCACAGTCGGAACCCTGAGAGGGGGTGAAGGTCAGGGTCTGAGCTGCGCTGGCTGCTAGGCCAGCCCCTGCCCCACCTGCATGCACCCTCCTGGCTCAGCTGGAAGGCAAGAGGGGGTCTGACAGCATGTGTTCGGAGACTCCGACTCTCTGCGGTCCTGCCCATTGCCGGCTCTCCTCTGGAGGCCGGAAGCCAGCAGAGGCTAGATCACGGACCCCATGTAAACTTTCCTTTTTCCACTAGGCCCTGTGGATGCAGGCAAATGGGTGTCCAAGCGCCGTGTGGAATAATGGCGAGAGATACAGGCTTCCAGGTCAGAAAGTACTGCGTCTGAGTCCAAATTCCATGTCTTACCCACCATGTCGGGAGCAGTCACTGACCCTCCCTGAGCTGAGGGTCTGCCTCCAAAACAAGTAGAGTAACAAGGGCAGAGCTGAGGCAGGAGCAAGCTAGGGTGGACTGGGATGCCCATGTGGGAAGAAGGCCTGCCCCAGCCCAGCGTTCACATGGTACGCCTGCAAATGTGGCCATGGTGCCTGTTTGCCTGGCCTCCAAGTTCTCTCAACCAGCTGCTGCTACAGACACATGGGCCTGATCCAGCAGGCGGGCAGGAGGGGGCAGCAGAGGCCGCTCAGAGCAACCTTGACCAGCCTGGGAGAACAGACCCAAACTAGCGCTCTCCAGGACCACCCAGCTTATCTGTGAACACCATGGACTCCTGGGCCTCCCCTCCGGAGATTCTAATCAGTAACTGTTAGGGACCCCTCAAATCTTCTGTTTAAACAGACACCCCAGATACTTCTGATGAGGGTGATTCCTGGGCTGGACTCTGATAGTTACCATCAGAGGTGAAGCCACTGGGTTCAGGGGGCTTCTGATCTCCCACTTCCCTGTGGGGTCATCCGCAGGACTCAGATGCCTAGGAGGGGTCAGTGAGGTTTGGGGAGATTCTGGTGGCTGGTGTATGTTGGCATCCCAAGCCCTAACCCACTGTGAAAATTCTCTGTCCAGCTATGTGAGCCATCTTCCTTATCCCTGGGAAGGGAGGGCAAGTCCGTGAAGATGGGAATTTAGCTGTCCCCACACTGGGATCAGAAGTCCCTGAGCAGAGGGCCTTGTAAAATATGGATTTTTCCACCTCTTATGGTTCCCACACCCCCCACAAGCAGACACACGCACTACCACCACTCCACACTGGCCCCACTAGATGTCTCAGCGAGAAAAGCCAGGTCTGACCGGCCACTCCTGTCTGGGTACCAAGGAACCAGGCCACCCCTTTACTCCTGAGAAGCACCTGCCTTCTTAACCACGGCCCGCATAGGTCCACCAGGACTGTACTATTAGCCATGAGGAAACCGAGGTTCAGAGGCGACTTGTCTTGCTCAGGTTGGGGTGGCCACAGAGGAGGAACCCTAGCTCCTTTGGAGCTCCTCTGAGCGAAAGCTGCCTGCTGGCGGGTGGCTGGAAGGCCTGGAGCCAGGCCCTTGTGGCCACCAACCCCGTCCAGCCCCAAAGAGAAAAGAGAACAGACAGAGCACACCTCTGTGGCCCAGGCGCCTTCCCATCAGAAGCGCACACCCCAGGCGCCTTCCTGCCGGGCGACTGGCTCTGCTGGCCTGGACGGGCCCTGGGGGTGAGCTCCAGGAGGCGAAGTCCCGCTTCCTTGGGGCTGAGGGGCCCGGAGGTCCCGCCCAGGCGCTTCTGCTGCCCGGGGCTACAACGGGAAGGCAGCTGAGGCTCGAGTGCGTCCAAGGCGTCGGCACCGCACGGAGAACTGCGGCGTCCGCGGATGTGTAATCCACACGCAGAAACCGTGCTCCAAGCATCTCCCTACCCCTGCTCCGGGCTTTATTACAGAGGGGATTTCATGTCAAGGGGCATCTTGACTTGCCTGTTCCAGCGCAAAATCCTTAAAATAGATGAAGAGATTGTGAATTAATTCTACGTTATTCCAGGACAAAAACCCCTAAGATAATACAGAGCGATTATGAATTAATTCTACGTAGGGCGCCTCTGTGCTAGCAGATCCTAGGGGTCCTTTATGCACGCAGGGCGCATCATTTCGCACCAGCCTCAGGAGCCCTTCGCGATTTAAGCTTGTGACTTGCACATGCTGGGCGCGCTTTTGTGGCGTCGCGCAGCGGTGGGAGCTTCACCCGCGACCCCTGTGCCAGCCCAGGACGCAACGGACTCCGAGGAGGACACAGCCCAGCCGAGCGCAGCCTCCGCGCTGCAGCAGCGGCGGCGCGAAATCTCGGACGCGGCTGCGGAGGCAGTTTCGCCTGCGTTATCTGGCCCTTCCGGGCTTGCCTGGAGCCAGGATCTCCTTGCGGGAAGGCTGGACTTTCCCTCTCATTCCCAGGCCGCAAGTCAGGCCGGAAGACCGAGGCCGGTCACCGTCCCCGGGCGGATAATCCGTACCGGTTTTCCTACACAAGCCCCTCTGGGTGCCTCCCGCCCCGCTAGACCTGGACATGGATGTGCTGGGAGAGCCCGCTGAAGCGAAGGCAAGGAGATGAACAGGAAACCGGGCTTTCCCACCGCCCTGGACCCTCGTCCAGCGGCGTCAAAGCCACGCAAAACCACCGCGCACAGGGGCCTCTGGCCCGCCAGGGCGCCCAGTGAGTGGGTGCAGAGGCTGGAGACTCCGCAGAAGAAAACCTGGGAGCTCGCAGTTGGGTTTCTCCTAATCAGCCCCTCTTCCCCAGAGCCTCTGCCCTAACTGGGCCGCAGCCTCTGCGGGAGAGAGGAAGGGGCTCCCAGCTCCTCTAGCCTGCAGAGGCTGACCGGACGCGAGCGCAGCGTTGCCGCGCTAGGAGGCCTGGGGACTCTTCTCAGTACTGGTTTTCCGGGCTCTGGTGGGAGGCGGAGGGTGCAGAGAAGACCTCCGCCCCAGGAGGACCGCCTTCTCCGCCTGCTGCGAACCTGCTCTCGGAGCGCAAGGCCAGGCGCGTGCGCCCGGCAGAGCCTGACCTGACGCTTCGGCCCGCCCGGAGACCCCAAGGATGGAGTCGCTGGCCTTTTCTTGTCCCCTTTATCTCGATTTTATAGACAGCTGTTAGTTTGAGACATTAATTGCCCAGGCGAGTTTATTGATAATTTTGATGTAACAGAGCACCGGAGAAATTACCCCCACGTCCAAAATGTCAACTCTGAGAAGAACCAGGTTCAGAGACTCACGACCCCACGACGCAAGACACTGCGGTGGGTCTGGAAGGGCCGCACCAACAATGTGACTTACTGTGTTTGTTTTCCTCCCTAGCCGGGAATTGGAATAGCAAGAGAGTGGTCAGTGGAAGATACAAGAGTCAAAAAATATTTTTTCCCCAGAGGCGACGAACTGTGACTTAGGAGATAAACGTTACAGGATGGGAAAGGTACCTGTCACCCGGCCCACCAACGGCCCTTTTGCCTCATTTAGATTTTACTTGATTTACTATGGGGGAAAACCAAGAACAAGCCACCAAATAGCTGAAACAAAACAAGACAAAACCAACAACTACAAAAAACCCTTAAAGTTGATTCATGATTTTTAACAGCTACAGCAAGTGAAACCCAAAGTAAAACTCTCATTGGTCTTGTAGTGGCAAAAAATATATATATTATGTACATGGACACATATACATATATGTACATATATATGTATACATATATGTGCACAAATACGGTTTAATTGGTGTTCCCTAGGGGAAGGAGGTCTACAGTGTTCTTTAAACGTTTGATTATTTCTTTAAAACGATCAATGACATTTAGAGGGGCAAAGGGCTCTTCTTAAAAAACAGAAGCCAAGAAAAATAGTTCCTCTTGTCCAACATTTACTTCAAAGTGGAATGAAGAGTGAAAAGAGGAGGATTTGCCAAAAAAGAAAACAGTATTCAGAATCACCCAAAATTTTTAAAAGTCTAGAGATCCAAAGCCTGTTTTTTTCCCCCACTCTATCTTTGGGAGTCTGTAAGGTATTCTGCAATCTCAATCCCAATAAAATACTCATGCAATTTTATTTCTAGTTGATACAATGTTAAAGGCCATGTACAAATGTTATACATTTTTATTTTTGTTCTTTTTTTAGGAAAAAATACACAAAAGGCAAAACATCCTCAAATGGTCCTTTTCTACAGTGCAGAAGGAAATTTCAAATTTCAAATGTGTCACAAATGCTGCACTCTAGCAGCCAAAATACAAAAAAAAAAAAGAGGGAGGGTAGTCCTTCATATTATATATATATTTATATAAAACATATGGAAATTTGTTTTTACACAGATCGGTCTTTGTTTCAAATTTACAATGGATATCTAAAAAAAAATTCTACACGGCAAATATTGCCAACAAGTTACACCATTAATACTGATAAACGGAGGAGCCTACGCGGTGTTTTGGTTATTAGGGAAAGAAAGTAGAATAAATAAACAGGAGCCTTGCTATAGTTTTTAAAAGTGCCTTAACCTTTCTGCGTCCCCGCAATCCTGAATCCGCGCGGTCACCGGGCCGTCCTAGTCCCTGCGTCGCGCTGTGTTCGGCTCGTTCTCGGACCAGAAAGTTTACAGTAGAGGTTGGGAGAGAGAAAAAATACTCACTGAAAAAGTCTAAATAAAATTCAAGACAAAACATAACAGAAAAGGCTGAAGCGAAGGAAGAAGAGGAACGTGGAAGGGGACGGAGGCAGACGCCCGGACGGCCGCTTGCTTCGTGGCTCCTTCAATTTTCTGTTTAAAGACGGACAGTGGCTTCCGAAATGCAAGTTGTTCGCACAAAGATCCACCTGCAGTCCAAGGAGGAGACTTCCGAGGTGGGGAGGGAGATCCGGAGGGAGATCCGAGCTCTTGTCCCCTCCCGCTCCCCGGAAAAGACAGCTCTAAAGGGAGACTTGCGTATTCCAAGACATTCTTTCAAAAAAAATAAAAAATAAAAAGATAAATACTCAACCAAAAAATAAAAGTATTTGATAATGATTGGTCTCACATGTTTGCCTTTCTTCTAAAAATCTTCCTCCCCTTCTGCCATTGGCCGGAAGGAGGGGGGACCTCAGCAGAACTCCTGTGTGGATGCGGAAGGCCTTCCCCTGCACAGCACCGTCTCAGCCGGGTTCAACAGGATCAAAAACCTTTATTTACCAACGGCTGCAGTCAGATCAGACCCACCACTACCATTTCTTAACAATTTTGAGGGAGTGAGGAAGGAGGTGCCAACCGCAGTGCTGTGTCTTTGCGTTGGGGATTCCTTGCCAAATACTCCTGTTGCGGAGGGGTGGAACCCTTTTCTTCTGCCGACGGTTATACCTCAAGAATAAAGCAGTTTCTTGTGCCGGTCCAGGGTCCCTGTGACCCGCCTGCCTGCACTAGGAGGGCCGGCGGCGGCAGCCTCACATCACGCAAGGCTTGATGTCTTGGTAGGTGACCTGCTGGTGATAGTAGGAACCCCCGCCGGCCGAGTGCATGGAAGAGGACGCCATGGCGTTGAAAGAGAAGACAAACTCCTTTCGATCACACATGCTGGGCGACTGCGAGTGATACCGCGGGATGCCTGCAAGGCGAGGGGACAGGAGGGGTTGGGGGAGCAGAAGAGTTAGCCACGGTGGCTCAGAGTTCAGGCGGAGGAGCAGCGCTCCTGGGGCGCACAAGGCCTGCCAGCCTGGCTCCGGAGCACGGCGGCCTACCCGCCCTCCTCCCGGCCTTCCTGCTGCGCACCCAAGGAAAAGACTCCAGAACACTGGCCACGGCCTCGCTCCCTGCAGTGCCTGCCTGCTGCGTGCCTGTCCAGCCTCGGACCCCGTGCAGGGGCCCAGGGGGAAGTGGTGAGGGAGGCTAAGTGGAGGGCCCCTAACTCTCACGGCCCTCACCGCCAGGGCAGCGCCCCCCCCCCCCGCCCCCCGCCGACCTCAGAGGCACCCACTGCCGGCCGAGTGGAAGGAGAAGCCAGTGCGGGGCCAGCCCAGGCCAGCAGCAGGGGTGAGAAGAAGCTTCTCCAGAGAACAGGCCCCTGAGCGGAGAAGTCCGCCGCGGATAGGCTGCCTAAGGCCTCCAGGCCTGCGGCCTGCCTCCTGCCTCCTGCCTCCTGGGGTTGCTGACAGCTGACCCTGGATGGGCCCTGGCGAGCTCACTCCAGCTTTTACCAGAGCTGGGCCTGCAGGCTGTGGGGAACCTGGGGCAGAATCAGGCGGCAAGGCAGCCGCATCTCCCTTGGCAGATGCTTCTGTATGTTTGGGGTGTTGGGGTATCAGGGGTGTTGGGGGTGTGGAGGCCTGAAAACTTGGATCCTAAAAAAAATGGAGCCCCCATGGCCCGGCCTGCAGCTCTGACCCTCTGGGGCCTGGCCACGCCCCGCCCTGCCTCCCTCACCACAAAATGCCCCTGGACTCAGCTGTGGCTCTGCCAAGCCTGGTCCCCTGAAGGCCGGGGCTGAGCCTCTGAGCGCTGGCCCAGCGGCTTTGGGCCTAACTCTTCCGTTCTGCCCAGCCCCAAGCAGAGGCAGCTCTCCAGGCAATGTGAGGGCCACCACCCGGGAGGGAGGGCCATCTGGCCAGGGCTGGGAGCCTTGGGTCCATCCCAGGACCTTTCCAAAGTGTAAAGGGACTTAAGGGACACAAAAGGACTTAGGGCACTGGGGTCTGGGAAATCTTGCTAAGGACCGGCCTACCTGGTCAGGCCTGGAGCAGCCGGCAGCTGGAGTTGGAACAGAAAGAGAAACAGATTGGCCCAAACTAGGCTCAAGAAAGGTAGTACTCTTCAAAGGGGGAGAGGTGGGGCAAAGAGACACCTTGGGGAGCTGGTGCCTCCCCTCAGCCTTGGGTTGCCGACCATAGAAGTGGAGGGGCTCGCCCCTGGCTGGGTCCCGCTGCCACTCAGATTCGACTTCCCGGGGACAAGGACGCCCTCGGCCTCCCCACTCACCTTGCAGCTCGGCTGGGGCGTTGTGGCTGTTCTGGTGCAGATAGGGCTGCTCCAGGGAGTGCGTGGAGAGGCTGCCGGACAGGGGGTTGGCCGCGGGGTTACAGGGGGACAGGGGCTGCTGCTTGATGTAAGAGGCGCCGCTGTTGAGTGCCGCGGAGGCCGAGGGCGGCCAGGCTGCCGCCGAGCCCGAATAGACGGCGTGCGGCTCCATGACCCCGCCGGCGCCGGTGGGCAGCAGCGGGGAGGCGGGCACAGAGCTGTCGTGGTGCGGGTACTCGCCGGCCGCCGTGCCGCCGCAGCTGCCCATGTACGAGTGGCCGCCGTTGGAGGGCAGGTGGGGCACCGAGTGGCTGGGCAGGGCCATGCCGTCCACGTTGCCCGGCAAGTGGCCGTTCATCATGCCAAGGCCGCCCTCCAGCGCCAGGCTGTTGGGCGGGCACGAGAGGCCGCCGGCCGAGCCCTGGAAGCCGTAGGTGTCCGGGAGGTGGTTAAAGCCGAGCCCGTTCATCATGCTGTACATAGGCTTGAGCGCCTGGCATTTCCTTCGGAAGCCGCGCGGCCGCCGCCGAAAGGAGCCCTCCTCGAACATGAACTCGCTGGCCGGGTCGATGGTCCAGTAGTGGCCCTTGCCGGGCCGCCCGAGGCCCTTGGGTAGCTTGATGAAGCACTCGTTGAGCGAGAGGTTGTGGCGCACGGAGTTCTTCCAGCCCTGGTAGGAGCCGCGGAAGAAGGGAAAGCGGCTCTGCAGGAACTGGTAGATCTCGCTGAGCGTCAGGCGCTTGGTGGGCGAGCTCTGGATGGCCATGACGATGAGCGCAATGTAGGAGTAGGGCGGCTTCTCAGGGCGCCGGATGCCGGCGTTGGTCTTCTTGGCCTTGGACGGGCCGGACGACGCGGGGTCCATGGCCGCGCCGCCTCCCCCGCCGCCGCCGCCGCCGCCGTGCGGTGGCTGCTGCTTCTCGGGCGCCGAAGACATCGGGTGGCTGCTGCCGCCGCCGCCGCTGCCGCCGCTGCTCTGCGCCGCGGACGAGCCGGGAGGAGGAGGAGGAGGAGGAGGAAGAGGACGAGGGGGGGGAAGAGGGCGAGGGGGAGGGGGCTGCGCGCGCGGGGCTGGCTGCACCTCTGCCGTCATCGGCGGCCACTTCTCCCGAGCGAGCCGCTGCGCGCCCGCCCCCGCGCTCCCGCCCGCCCTCCCTGAGGAGCTGCTGGATCCGCCGGCGGTTGGCTCAGAGCCCCTCTCTCTCCAACTCCCGCCTCCCCCACCTCTCTCCTCCCTCTTTCTCTCTCGCCCTCCCACAAGGAAAGAAGCCGAGCTGAGGCCGAGGGCAGCCCAGGCGGAGGCCGTGAGGAAGCTACCCCCGCCGGTATTTTTGTGGGGGAGGCACCACCTCCAGGGCTTACGGCCGTGCGCCCCAGCCGGGAGCAGCCCTGGGTCCCCGCCGCCCGCGGCGCTCGGCTCCGAGATTCCGGCCGAGAGAGCCTTCACTTCATCTCCGCTCGGCGGCGTCTCGAGGTCGGCGTAAGACCCTCCCGGAGTTCCCTCCCTCCGTCCCTGCCCCCCTCGGGCCCCCGCGTTGGTGGGCGCTTAAAGAGCCCCCACTCTCGCCGCCCCGCGGCCGCCAACAAAATCCGCCCCGCCTCCACCAACCTGGCGAGCAAGTGTTAATGCGCCCTCCGCCCGCGGTTCAGCCCCGATGCGCGCTGGACCCCGCCTTCCCCGCCCGGGCGGCGCGGCGGGAAACGCGCCCTGGGCCAGGGCCTTCCCCGACGCGCACAGCCCCGTGGCAAATCGCAAGTGCGGTGGCCTCCCGGTCGTGACCATCGCGGGCACAGCCGGCTCGACTCCGGTCCTCTCGGCCGGCCGGCGTAAGTTCCCGCGAGGGACCGCCTACCCACTCTCCCCGCCCCGGGAAGGACTGCGCTGCGCTCGGGATTTTTCGGACTCGCCCAGCAGCTTGCGAGCGGGCGGGCAGCCGCCGGGGCAGAGCGCAGGCGGAAAACGAAAGCGCAGCACGAGTCGCGGCCGCTTTGTCTCGGGTGCCGCGGGCCTGATGGGGGTGAGTGAGAACCCGCTGGCTCACCGGCGACCCAAACCGCACAGGCCCCGGAACAAGCTTTGTGCTCACTCACCCATGCCCGCACACCCTCGCGCTCTTGTGCATACGTTAGCGCACACATACATGTCTTGATGCACATGCAAACCCGGTAAATTACGCAAACAGACGTGTAAACACGCCCATGCGTGTGTGCACACTCATGTGCAGAGGGCGCTCAGGCATGTGCGCACCCACTAATGCGCTCCTTGACACAGAAGCTTAAGGCCCACAGGAGCTTAAGTTCGCACTCACTCCCACTCACGCGTACACACGCCACACTCGAATCTGAACTCACACGTAGTTCAGTTGCCCTCCCCCACTCCCAACACACACTGAAAACCCGCCTATTTGGCCCCGCGGCCCCATTTTCAAAGCACAGGTTCCGATTTCCCGAGAGATGGCAAAGGCCCTGGCAGGAAGTTTACAGGGTTTAACGTAAACAAGTTCTGGGGGATTCTTTAATAATAATAATAGAGAATTCCGCGTGCGCAGGGCGGGAGGGGGGAGTTGGCCTAATGCCCCTGTGGGCTCGGCCTGCCGCCGCCGCGGGGGCCTCTGACACTGCGCGCCAGGCCAGGTTCCTGAGAGCAGACAGCGCGGGCGGGGAGCGCGGGCCAGGGCGGCCCTCGCGCGCCTGGCTGGCAGCCCGCAGGGGGCTCGCACACAGCCCTACCCTTGCCACCTCAGCCCTAGGGTGCGGGCTGGGGCAGTGGAGCCAGGGAAGGTGGTGCGGAGAGCCGAGCGCAGGACTGCGCAGGAGCCCCGGCGCAACGCTGTGCGCACACACCCAGGTGAGTGCTGCTCTCTCGCACCGACTGCTGGGTGCCGGGCCCGACCTCTCTCTCCAGGGTTCCCGGTTGGGAAGAGGGGGGCGAGGGGTGTTTTCGCGGGTCATCGCGAGGAGCCTAGAGGCCAAGCCCCGGCGCGAGCTGGGGCGAGAGGCGTGTGCCGGGCTCGCAGCACTGCCCGCGGCGCGGCGCGTTCAAAGCCCACCCGCCTCTCGGGTTTCTCTGGATTCCTTGTCTTTCGCTAACTACCCGCCCCCACCTTCCTTGCTCCGACGACTTCATTTTCGGCGGGAGACTCCTTGTCGCCTTCGGGGCGCCTGGCACGTCGGTGCGAGGAGCTGGGGGGCTCGCCGGAGCAGCCTGCCGGGCTGTTGCCGCCTCCTCCCCCAGATCCGCGCTCGCGGGAGAAGAGAGCCGCCTTCGCGCTGTCCTTCCGCTGGCCTCCCTGGGTCTCCGCGCTCAGAGAGCCTGGCCCGCCTAGGGAAAGAATGAGTGTGGGACGTGACCCGTAGTGTGTGGTTGTGCATTCACGCAGGTAAACGCTTTCTGGCAGACCCGCTTCCACTTCACACAATCAGCCCAGCCTCCGCGGACACAGATACGCTCCGCACCGCCCACGGCCTCGAACACCCTTCCCAGCGACCCTCACAGCTCGGGCGCCCCCCAACCCTTGGACCAACACACAGGCCTGCCCAACGGGGAGGGCACACTTTGGTTTAAGTGCACACCTCATGCACGCCCACGTGTTCTGCACTGCGCATTCGCCCACGCATAGCCAGGCGCCGCGCGCAAATAATCATAAGTACCGCCGCTCCACACGTGCACACGCGTCCACGCACACACGCATTCTCACATTCTCTATTCTCCCCACTTTTTTTTCTTTCTTTTTTTTTTTTTTTTTTTTTTTTTTGGTTGGCAAATGGCAGTTGCAGATGAGGAGACCCTGGCCTCCTGAGGAAAGTTCTGTTCCCAGGAAGGGGTCGCTACTGCCGACTGCCAGAGCACATCTGGCCTTTAGCAGAGGTGAGCAGGGAAGCTGCACAGCTCTTAAGCAGCTAGGGGTGCAGGACGCACCCTGGGGCTCTCTGCAAGTGGAAATAACATTCTTCCTTCCCCTCGCCCCTCCCCCACTCATGGGGCGCCTTCAAAGTGAGGGAGTCTCTAAAGCATGAACTTGGAGAGCCCTTTTCCAGCAGCCTCCTTCACTCTTGGGCCTTCTTCAGTTGGGGAAGGGAAGCAGCAGGTCCCATCTTTGGCTAACCCGGAGATCCTTTTTTTCTCCCTTTCCACCCTTCTTTCTACCCTTTCACCCGCTCTGACAGCAAGCCAGATCTTACAGGCCAGCCAGTCATGGAGTCCAGGGTAAGAGCCGGCCCAGTAGGCCTGGGAGTCTCAGGAAAGCCAAAGATGGAAGCTCTCCTCAACTGCTAATCTCTACTGCTGGGTGTGTGTAGAAGTGGGGGCGTGAGAGAGGAGGGTAATTAGCTACCAACTCTGTAATTTGAAGGGGACCCCCTGAATTCTGGGGAAAACCACAGTCGTAGCAAGAAGGGCTTTCCTTCATGTCCAGAGACTGCATTCTCAGCTCTTAAAATGTCCCTGAGAGGCCTCCCTTAATCCTACATTTTTAGGATGGAGAAACTGAAGCACAGCATGGACTTGGCACTCATCAGCCAGCGCTGAGAGGTGAACATCTCTCTGTCTGCCCTCTGTACGCCCAAGGACAAAATATCCTGGCGTTTCACTCTTCCAGGTGCCTCTGTGTAGGCTGGGAGTAGAGAGAGTGGGGCTTAGAAAAGAAATGCCTCTGCTGTCACCACACAGCCCTGGCTTCCCAGGCCCAAGGGGACAGAGAGCCCCATTGGAGAACTGATGGTGATAAAATAGCAATGACAACTACAAATACTATGATAATAGTAGGCTCATCCACTGCTGACTAGGCACCCGGCGCTGCTCCTCACTCCACAAACTGCCCTGGTCTGCTCCTTTCTCTTGGCTGTCAATTCTTTGAAAACTAGTCAGACCTGCCCCCTCCCCCAGAAGATGCATATTTGTGACATTCATAGAATGATTTTGAAGGTTTCACCAAATGCCTGGAGCCCATCTGTGAACCGTGAGGCACCAACCATGAACACAGGACCCCGGTTAAATGTCCCTAAGAAACCTGCTTAATATTCCCCCATGCCCCTACCAAGTCAGTATAATTTCCCTCCTCCCTCACAGATGGAGCTCGGCGAGGTCACTCCAGATCCTAGGTCACCCTGCAGAGCCAGTATCCAAACCTGGCCTGATTGCAGAACCAGGGCGTTAAGTGTCCTGACCACGGGGTGGGGTCCGGCGGTGCCCAGGGCAGAGGGGCCGCTCTGCTGTGAACCCCAAAGGCAGGCGAATTTGAACTCTCCCCACCACGTAGGGATGATGCATACGCTCTTTGTGCCTTAGTTTCTTTATCTGAAAAATGGAACTCATCATGGTTCCTATTTCTTAGGGTCACACGGAGAGTTGGACAAGACCATGCACGCAAGGCTTAGGTTGTACAAACAGAAACAAAAACCCCAGGGGCTCAGTTCCAGGGACGGAGGAGAAAATGCAGACAGGGACAGAGATCGCCGGCAGCCTTTTGCTCTTGGATTAAAATCCATGAAGACCGGCCCCCTCTCACCCCAAAACAAATCTGCGCCCCAGCTCCGGCCCCAGGAATCCTGAAATTGGCGGAGAGGGGTTGGCGGGGGTGTGTAAAAACAGGCACGCCTGCGACGTCTCCCACTCCCCAGGCCCAAGGTATTTTTACTAGCTAATTGCTTAAGTGAAGCCGCCCGGGCCGAGAGCGCGCCGTAACCCGAGCGGGGAACCAGATCCCGCTCCGAGGGAGCCCGGGCCGGCCGCGCGGGCGGGGCAGGGGCCGCCGACCACCCACCGCGAGGGCAGCCGCCCCGCCGGCCGCCGCCGCCCCTGCTCGGCATTAACGCAGAGCCCGCGCCCTCCTCGCCCCCGCTCCCTCCAACCCCCTGCGAGGCGAGGTTCAAACGACGCCTCAAGGTAGGGCGGCCAGCCAGGACCCGACGCGGGAGCTAGGCGGGAGGGAAGCGGCCTGTCCTGGGGGCTTCGGAAGGGAGGGAAGGGGGACCCGGCAGGGGGAAACGAAACTTCCCGGCCGGCAGAGGGGAGCGGGAGGTATATTTGTGGGCGAAAGTGCAGCCCTGGGGACTAGGGGACTGTGAGGAAATATCAGGTCCAGCGGATGGATTATAAGATAATCTGTGTACAGATACCTGAGATACTCCTCGCACACTCTAGATGTGCATGCCTCATACTGCTGGCGTGCAGAGGACTGTGGCCCGCACAGCCAGCACAGGGA